AAACAAACAAACAAACAAACAAACAAAAACAATGAGGAATCTTGATTAACATAGAGTAACTAGGCAGGCTAGGAGATTGAAGGAGAAAGCAGACACACACCTTCTCCCATGGAGTGACATATGTGTTCAGTGAGTACTGGTTAAAAGAATAACAAACACATAGACACAGAAACATTAAGAAAAGACACAGATTCCCCAGAATTCTCAACCTCCTCTTAAATTCATGTCCTCGTTTAATAAACATGAAGTCACATATTTTCCTTTAATGCTATTTTGAAGTGTCAACATGAATTAAATATGGCGACTGAAAATAAAGCAATAGACAAAGTGCTTGTGTGTCCCGTGACCCAGCCATCATGAAAGACAGGGAGGAAGAGGAGCGGACAGGCGGTGTGGTCGGCAGGAGAGAACCACCAAGATCTCCTGACGGGCCGGAAGTCGGAGTGCAGGGCCGCGCCCGCTTCTGGCGTCACTTCCCGCGCGACTCCCAGCGCAGACCATGGCGGCGCAGAGTGGTGTCCGTTGGCTGACCCGGGTGAGGCCCGGGGACACGCCGCGCGAGAGGCGGAATGGGGAGCGGAGGGTTTGTCACAGGGTTTTGTGAAGAGGGCAAGGTCGCTGCAGTGTTCGGGGACTCGGGGTCCCATATCTGACCTCACAGGCCCGTGTGTCCGCCGCAGGCGCTGCTCGCCGCCCCGAACTCTGGGGCATGGAGAGGTCTGGGTACCTCGGCCGGAGCTCATGCCGCCTCGCGCAGCCAGGTACGTACGAGTCCGCCTCCGGTCTCGCCCATGTCCCCTTCTTGAATATCCGCCGGCTTTCCCCCTACCCCTCCCGAACCTCGCACCTTCCCCTCCCCGCAGGATCCCTGCTCCCTCCCCAGCTCTAGCTTTGCTGGCCCCACCCGCAGGCAGAGGACATGAGGGTGGAGGGTGCCTTTCCTGTGACCATGCTGCCGGGTGACGGTGTGGGGCCTGAGCTGATGCATGCTGTCAAGGAGGTGTTCAAGGTGAGTGGCCTGGAGGATCACACAGTAGGGACGATGGGGTGGGTTGGAAAGGACTTACTGACCTTGACCCTATGATGTTTTGGGACCTGTCTCTGAAGGCTGCCGCTGTCCCTGTGGAGTTCAAGGAGCACCACCTGAGCGAGGTGCAGAATATGGCATCTGAGGAGAAGCTGGAGCAGGTGCTGAGTTCCATGAAAGAAAACAAGGTGGCCATCATTGGTATGTGTGCCACCTTGCCACCCTATCCATATGTCATTTAAAAACCAAATGAAAACAAAAATATTCATTAAACCATTCTCCCCACATACAAATATATTAACTCTCAAGCGCTCCCACTACTGATACTTGGGCATTTTCCCTCCCTGTTGGGAACTCAGGAATTGAGCTATCATGTCAGCTGTCTTTGCAGGAAGGCTCCAAGGGTTTGGAGTCTGTCCTGAGGCTCCATCACCCTTCATCAAGTCTTGTTAATTGTGTTTCTAAGATGATACTTCTAGCTGCCCTTTTTCTTCTGTCGTCACTTCTGCTACCCTACTTTAATCTCTTCATTAGATTTTTTGGCTTCTGGTTTTGCTCCTACGGTTCATCTTCGATATCTCTTCTCTTGGAAAGACCAGCCTGACATTGCCAGGCCCAACCTTGGCATAGGAAAGTAAATTATTTATAAGCTGTCCCTCAGCTTTTCTGCTTTGGTTTCCACAACACTTATTCTTTGCTTTGGTCACACTAGATTGTGTGTTAGTTTCCACATACAAGGGTACTTCTAAAAGTTTGTGGGAAATTGAATTAAAAGACACAGACGAGTCTTTTCATGAACTTTTTGAAGACTTCCTCATATATGTACTGTCTTGACTTATGCTATTCCCTCTGCCCAGAATGCTCCTTTGATACTACCTGTCAGAATCCTCATTCACTCACTATATTCATTTCCTACAACTGCCATAACACGCTACCACAAACCTGGTGGCTTAAAATAATGGAAACATATTCTCTCACAGTTCTGGAGGCCAGAAGTCAGAAATTAAGGTGTTGGCAGTGTCACACTCCCTCTGAAAGCTTAGAGGAGAACCCTTTTTTGCCTCTTCCAGCTCCTGGTATTCCTTGACTTGTACGCGCATCACTCCAATCTCTGCCTCTGGCTTCATACGGCGTTCTCCCCTCTTTGTCTTCATGTCTCTTCTCTGTAAAGATTTATCTCTGGGTTTAGAGCCCACCCTAATCCAGGGCAATTTCATCTCAGGATCCTCAACTACATCTGCAAAGTCCCTTTTCCCAAATAAGGTCACATTTACAGGTTCTGTGGGTTAGGGCATGGACAGTCATTTTTGGGGACCACTACTCAACCCACTACACTCACTTAACATAAGGTCTGATGGAGATGCCAGCTCTTCTGTGACACTTCTTAGTATTACCAGAGGGGATTTCTTCTCTGTGTTCCTATGCACATTGTAAATACCTTTCCCATGGTCTTTATCCTGTCTTTCATATTGTCTGTCTTCCCCGTGCATTGTTTGCAACTCAAGAGCAGGAGTTGTGTGGTTTTTGGTTGATGTGCCTATTACCTGACATACAGTCCATATTCAGTAAATGTTGGTGGAAAAATGGTCAGATAAGTAGACCCAGAAACATCAAGAAAGGTCACAGATCCCCTAGCATTGTTTCTCAACCTGTTATTAAACCCAGGCTCTTCTTTGATGAACATGAAAAAAATCTGGCCTCCTTTTAGGTTATTTTGAAGTTTTTTTTTTTTTTTTTTTTTTAAAAGATGACCGGTAAGGGGATCTTAACCCTTGACTTGGTGTTGTCAGCACCACGCTCACCCAGATAGCCAACCGGCCATCCCTATGTGGGATCCGAACCCTTGGCCTTGGTGTTATCAGCACCGCACTCTCCCGAGTGAGCCACAGGGCCGGCCCATGAAGTTTTAATATAAATTAAATAGGCGACTAGAAATAAAGTAGAAGACAAAATGTTTCTGATTTTAACTGTATTATTCTCCTTTGCCTCTTGCCCCCAGAGGCTATTAAAAGTCATTGATTAGGGCCGGCCCTGTGGCGCACTCGGTAGAGTGCGGCGCTGGGGAGTGCGGTGGCTCTCCCGCCAAGGGTTCGGATCCCATATAGAGACCGGTCCGCTCACTGGTTGAGCGCGGTGCGGGCATGACACTGAGGGTTGCGATCCCGTTGCCGGTCGTGGTACGGGCGCGACACCGAGGGTTGCGATCCCATTACCGGTCATGAAAAAAGACAAAAAGGAAAAAAAAAATTTAATTAGTTATTTATATATTTTGGGGGGCAGCTGGCCAGTGCAGGGATCTGAACCCTTCACCTTTATGTTTTCAGCACTGCG